GCGTAAGAACTTGTCTGTCATTTTCTCTTTAAGTTAGAACCATCCTTTGAGGTAGAGATTGGGTTCTGTGTTTCCTAATGTGACAAGATACGGTAGCTCGGAAGGGTGAAGTAACCTGTCCACATTCACTCAGCTGGGAAAAAGCAGAGGCGAATGTGAACCTTAATGCTGCCATCTTTCTTGCTGGTCATTCAACTACCGCCTTAAATGTTTTACAACCTCCTATCCTAGTTGAGAAACCGTTCCTATCAGAAATATTCCTGGCTATTCAAAACAAGACTTAAATACAATCTCTTTTGTTACTATGAAAATCCATATACATATACAGAAACATGAAATAACAGAACAAAATGCGGATCCGAAATAAGCTCTAGAAACATGAAAGGTTGTTTTCTTACTGCAACTTCCTGAATTGACCTAACGTACAAACTTAGTGGAATCTAAAAACATAAGAAAAAACACCGACTATAGCAAATCTACTGCATGGATCATTAAATAGCCACAAAAATGGCTTATACAAACTTTGTAACATGAAAAGACCCCACCTGTTATAATATTAAGTGACATGGAAAACATAATGTGCAAAAAGCAACTACATAAAACCCAACTTTACTATATTCTTCCAATTTCTGTACGCACTGAAGATGTTATTTTTGTAATGAAGCAGAACACAAAAAGGATCATGTAGAGATACACTGTAGTCTGGGACCATTTGGGGCCAAGCAAACATCTCAAAATACAGCTCTTTGGGCCCAGCTGTATCATTGCATTATAGCAGGACAAAATTTTTGCCTGTCAATCTGCACACATAATGAACTCGCATGATCAAGAGTGAAACCACAGACAGTATACTGTTAAAAAAAAAAAAAAAAAGTCCAAAAAGTTGTAAAAAGATCTCTATTAAAAATAAAAAGCACCAACTGAATATTTGGTAAATGTGAGTCTTCCTACCATCGTGTCACTCTCCTGCCCCCAAACCCTGAAAGTGTCCTGACGGCGTTGGGAGTAATTTGAACTATTTATTATGATGTGCACACATTGCAGTCTGGCCCCATTCTAATGACTGCTCCCTACTCCCACCCATGGGCTCAAAGGCTCTCATTCTCAAGCCTTATGCTCTGGCTGGCCTACTCACTTTCTTTCAAAGAAACTTTATGTACTTAAACTGAACTTTTGCTCACTCAGCCACCCTCATTTGGACTCCCCCCATTTACTCCCACTCCTCCCCAGCTGACTCCCCGCCTTCCAGGCACAAATCAACCTCTCTAACCCACAAGTCTTCTCCCTTGTATAGATTCCTGTAGAAGTTATTATTTATAAAACACACCACTTAACCCCATAGCCTAAAATTATGTAAAATGCATTTTAATTTCTAAAGATAAAGGACCTTTGGTTTTTTTTTTTTTGACCTTTGCTTATTTCTTTCATGATAATGAATTACTTCTATATTATGCTTTACAGTTTATAAAGCAATTTCACATGTATTATTCTCAATAAATATCCTGGTAACTTAAAACAACAACCTCCTACTTAGTGGCCACATCTTGGTCTTTATTTATTTTTAAAGTTTATTTCTTTATTTTGAGAGAGTGCGAGCAGGCTCAGTGCAGAGCCTGATGCCGGGATTGATCCCACTGTTAGATCATGACCTGGGCTGAAATCAAAGTTGGACACTTTATCAACTGAGCCACTCAGGTGCCCCCAGATCTCGGTTTTTAAACACCATTCTCTAATAAAAGGACTCAGGACTCTGGAGAAATGGCTCATTTGAGGACCAGGGCAGAGAAAATACAAGATGAGCATGCAATTCTTATAGTAAAAAGTAAGGAAATGATCAAAAAAAGAGGGGGCATGTGAAAGGGATACAGGTGCCAATCTGAAAGAGCTCTCACTGGCCAAAGCTGAACTAATTTGAATAACAAAATAAATAATATCAAGAGTGCATATGGATAAATAACAGGAAGAACAAATCTTCCATATTGAAGAATTCCAAATAATACACATAGATACTCCCTTCCAGGAGGTGGAGCCAAATCCCCACTCACCTTAAGTTAAGGGCTGGACTTTGAAAAAAGGGGGAAAAAAAAATGTTACTTTCCAGTGGAGAAACCTAGCAGACAGCACCTTCACCATGAAGGCTAACATCACCCATGATGTCACGTGGGGATCATCTTCCCCCAGGATGCAACGAGAAGGGCACTTTATCTGTGGTCTTCCTCACTAAAACCTGGTACCCTAATGCAATCGTGAGAAAAACAAATCCGCGCTGGCAACATTATACAACATGCTGCCACACACCTCAAGTGTCAAGGTCATGAAAAACAAAGAGAAGACTGAGAATCCACTGCAGACCGCAAGAGACCAAGGAGGAATGCCAACTAAGTGCAATGTGGTATTCTGGACTGGATCTTTTAAGAAAAAAAAAAAAAATTAATAGACAAACTGGTAATGGTAATATAAATGGTAAAATACCAATGCTGGTTTCTTGGTTGTGATAAACACACCACAGTAATGTTTAAGATTGTAACAGTAGGATAAACTGATACTGGGCACGGGGATGAGAATGCCTTTATACTACACCTTTAAAACTTTCTGTATCAAAAACCACAAGCTTTGCCTCACTGCTATTATTAGCCCAGGGGACACCTAACCTGCAGCCAAGACTGCAGCTCTCCCTTCCCTCCTCAGTAAAAATGTTCTGTACTAAGCGGCAGTACCTCTAATCCCAACTGGACATTTTCCTTAAGTCCTTTGGGTGAAAAGATGATCAGAAAAGAAGTCTGTGGGGCGCCTGGGTGGCCCAGTCAGTTAAGCGTCCGACTTCGGCTCAGGTCGTGATCTCGCAGTTCATGGATTCAAGCCGTGCGTCGGGCTCTGGGCTGACAGTGCAGAGCCTGGAGCCTGTTTCGGATTCTGTGTCTCCCTCTCTCTCTCTGCCCCTCCCTTGCTCGTGCTGTGTCTCTCTCTCAAAAATAAACACTAAAAAAAAAAATAAAGTCTGAACAACTCAGCACAAACAATATTAAGTTCATATGAGTGCTTGTGAATAAAGGCATTTCAAGGTTTTGGAATCTAGTTCATTTGACCAGATATTTAAGTCTCCGTAGGATTTAAAAAACCAACCAACCAACAAACTTAAATAAAAATAGATGGAAACACTTTAAAAGACAAAACCTAAGCAGTACGGGTGCCATAAGGTTTTTAAAAAAATGTACATTAAAAAAACCTTTTTTTTGATGTTTATTTATGCTTGAGAGACAGAGTATGAGCGGGGGAGGCGCAGAGAGAGAAGACGACACAGAATCCAAAGCAGGCTCCAGGCTCCAAGCTGTCAGCACAGAGCCTGATGCAGGGCTCGAACTCATGGACCGCAAGATCATGACCTGAGCCAAAGTCGGACACTAGACCGACTGAGCCACCCAGGTGCCCCAAAAATGTACATTTTTAAAAAAAAGACCTTGGTTGTTTGACAAGTGACCAACAAACTGCTCGACATGTGTAAGTAAAAGGAGGTAATATTAAGATTTATAATGAAGAACCTTAATACCTAGTTTAAATTTGATATTTAGTACTAAATTAATATTTAAACCAAGACTATCTTTGGCAGACCAGGATGCATGGTCACCCTAACTGTAAATCTAATTTTGAGAAACACCGTTATATTCTTGTAGAGGAAATATTATGATGGCCTACTTACTAATTAAAATTTTAATAATACGGAATCCAAAAAGCAAGTCACACTTAGAATTTTATAAGACTGAAGACAGTGACAAAGTAAGGTACTTATTTGGTCTACAAAAACCTAAGCTTACTAATGATATCACCTATAAAAACAATGATGGTGTATACATAAAAAATGATGAGAAAAGTAATAGGATTTTAACATAGTTACTTCACATTGCAGATATGCCCATATGGACACAAATGATTAAAGTCTGGCTCCATATATGCAGATTTTAAATTTGGAGCCCTACTATGTACAAAAAATTGGAGAATGCCTATTCGAAACCAAAAATTAAAAAATCCAAAAAGATGGTAACTCAGTAAAAAGCTTACCCAAAGAACATTTAAAATAGAAGACATTTCAGTTCAATATGGTAATCTGCAACTAATGACAGGTTGAACTTTCATTAATAAAACATCTATTTTCTCAATAAAGTATATAGATGTTTTATTAAATCTACACGTAGGAAGGGCTAAGGTTTTTCTGAAACATTTACAACAGATAAAATTAGGGAAGCCTGAAAGATTTCAGTAAACACAACCCCTAGTGTTAATCTTCATTTTTATACACTCAAAAAAGTATACGTCTGACTAAAATCAAACCAAACCAAAAACTCCCCAAAATGAAAATTCTAGCACAAATAAATTATTCAGATTAAATTTAAATATGGTATTTTAGTTACAGTTTGGACTGTGGCTATCACTGTATTTTAGAAAAAGGCTTTGATATTAACTGCATTTTAAAACAGATGGAGCATATTCCACATACTAATAAAAATGAAACACAAGAATTCTTTTCGCCAAAATAGTAACATTGGAAATTCTATTTTATTCATGCTACATATAGCTCAAGTTTGCATTATGATGTGATTAACTAGCTATGCAGCAGCCTTAATATAAAAGCAAAGTGTTATCTCAAATTGGAGTCTGTGTCCTAAAGGACTTACCCATTCAATTTATTGACCTAAACATTTTTCATTTTAGTATTATTTTTACATTAATAGCCAATTACTTCTCCCTTCCAACAACTTACACTTACTCTACACAGGAAGGCTTCAGAATGACAACCTTTTCCTTTTCCCTTGTTAAGTATTCTGTACACCTAAAATAGACCCAACTTCAGGAAAAACAATGAGAAATGAAAGAAATCTCTTGCTGCCTTTAGAATGACTGAGCTCTACACTCAAGAGGCAACTCTGAGTTGAGAAATTAAAAAAAAAAAAAAATGGGAAGAGGCAATATAAAAATCTCCTAGAATGTAGAAGAAATTAGACTAGTTTAGTTTTCTTTAATATCTTCTTTAATAAGACATTACAGCACACAACTGAGCCCCAGTGTGTCAGTTAAACATGGGGATGTAGATCCATATGAAGTAGAATGAAACAAATTGAACCTTAACCCCATTCCTTTTGGCAATTAGTGGAAATACAGAATACAAATGGACCCATTCTCTCTCAGTGTCTCAGATTTTATAAAGTCTTTGAAGACACCATAAGTTTTATAATGAACTTTGCTGTGGTCTGTTAGAGAATCTTCAAATTAAATAATGAGGATGCTTAAGAATTTTAATTTTCCCCTTAGAGCAAATTTAAGTCAAACATAATAAAGAAGGGATTGTAACTAAGAATCCTTACATGAAGTATGAGAATCAATGTCTTATGCAAGACCAATGCAGCTATTTTCCTATCACTGAGATATAAAGTGAAATATGGTGTCTTCAGCTGCTTATAAAAAAGGGTTAAATACAAGAACAAAAAGCTTTTATTCTGAATTACAGCCAGTAAAACAAATGAAAAAAAAAAAAAAAAAAACCAAAACTTGTGAATGGTTTTTAAATGATTTGTTACTAAATGTAAACATACATATGGTCAAAGCACTTTTAAAAACCTTTAAATTGTAATTTAACCAGAACTTCTGTAATACCCACCACAAGCAATCAGGCAAATTCTAATGTTCTGGTAACCAACATATTAGGAAACAACAGATATTAAATCTGAACTCAGGAAATTACACGGAAAAAAAAGACTATTTTAAAGTGAGAACGTAACAGAAGTTGCTAAGAAACTATCACCACTGAAGCTTTTCCTCGTAAATATCTTATTTTAAACTTACAGTGAAGTCAAACAAGGTGGGCAGAACACGCACAGCTATGAAACAAATGCAGTGATGAATTACAGCAGAAAGAGGGAACGCGCTTTGTGACCCACAGGATCAGATTCGTGGCTCTAAGCAATTACCAGTAAATAGTTGCGTTTTCTTCCTATTATATTAACTTCAAATTTTAAACCGAGTTAAAGCAGTTTCACTAGTAAAGCTAACAGCTGACAAAAGCAAATTAGAAGGACCCTAAAATTAGTCTTCCTTAACTGGATGGGATATACCTCATCCATCGGAACCAACCCACTTCCCCATCCTTAGAGCCAAAAGAATGTGGACATTGGCCTATTTTAATACTTTTCTAGTTCAGACAAATCATACTGTACAGTCTTTGATTTCAGGAACCAGTACAAAGTAAACTTCTAAAACCAACCATTCACTTACAAACGAAAGGAGGGAGAAGGTTCTGGGAATTAACCCAGCAGCAAGTCATTCCGATCTTCCTATTAAGGAAAACCACTCATAAAGTTGGCCAAATTATTAATAAATTCCATCAAATTTGGAGTTTTAATCTCAAATTAATGAACCTGAAGAATTGTGAAAGAATCCATAGGTGTAATTTATATAAGATAGATCTTTACCAGTTCACATGTGATCCATCAGGTTTTGTATTAAACGAAAGCTGGATTATTTCGTTACGGCACATACTCCAGAACCTATTCTTTCAGAAGGGCTCACTGAAAATCCAACCACATTAGGAATTTGTCAGTTATCTAGAGGGTATACCTGGCTGGCAGCTACGGCCAGGTCACACAGCAGGCTAAAATATTCCAACCTCAAACACAGGAAATGATCAGAGGGGGAAATGACACATGGTGGTAATATACTAAGGCAGCAGGTAAGTCATTCTTCACCTAGACCAGCAGCTGCCAATAAAACTATGAATGAGTCTGCTCCAACGTAACTAGCGAACCTGCCACTGAGCTGAGAAAGGGAGATAGGAACTGCGCTTGCAATTCTAGCTGACAAATTCATTAGATGTTTATAAGGCAAATAATGTGGAAGGTTAGAACAGAATTTCTAGAACCATTTATCCTGTGATGTTGTAAAATCAAAGTACTACTTTATTAAATGAGTTATTTTACACAATATGAACATCAATATAATTACAATTGTAAAAAAATTTTTTATAACAAGGATGGACTGATTTTCAGATTTCCAAATCAGAGTCAACTGTACATTTACACAGAATTGTCTTTGCATGAAGCCCAAAAGGGAACAGCATAAAAATGAGTGTTTCTGTAGCCCCTTTATTTTTGCTGATCAACAGTTTGTTAGAAAAGCAGCTGCAGGTTTGTTACCTAAGGTCTGAGACAGTAGAAGAGCCAAAGGTGTCGTGAATTCACCTATAAAACATAAATGGAATTTTCAGTGAATGTAAGCATTGCACAAATACCACTTATATGCATTTCAAATGTCTAAGAAAAATGCACCACATGCATAAGCTACCAAGTCATTCTGATGGATCTGTCAACGATTTTATACACAAATCTTTGATAAATTTACTTTAAAAAGGAAGTTATCTCACACCATCACCACCACTTAGGGAAAACAAAAACCACACAAAAAATGTAAACTGATTATTTTCAAGCCACTATCAAGTTTATACAGTGTAAGCCCACATTTTGCTACATATTTCAATGCATTCAGAAGCTCTGTTAAACACTCTAAAATACCTGCAACAAGGCACTCAGGAACATTGTTCTGCATCATTTCTGGGAGCAAGACCCTCAAATGCCTTTGTAATAGTTACTTTCTTTAGGCTGGTAAGTCTCTTCCATTCTTGGACCAGAGCTGGCCAGCATCACCTCAGCCCCCCATTTTGGGCTACAGTAGTAAAAACTTGGGTGTTTCAAAGGCATTGAGAAGATCTGGTTTGGGAAAATGGGTTTTTAACAGTTGTGAAGGTAAACACTAACTTAAAAAAGGGGAAGCAATAAAATCTCAGCTAGAAAAAAGGTAGACATTAATTTCAGTTACAGAAGATAATTTTGCTCTCGTATACAACCTTGACATTAACAAATGAAAAGACAAAAGGTCAACTACCTGTAAACAACTTTATGCCTGAACATCAGCCAATTCTGGAGGAAGTGGAGTCTTAGGATGCTTGCTTTCAAAGTGCTGCTTGAAGGTCTTAGGGTCTGGCATTTGTGTCTAATTTTAAAAAATGTGCAAAAAAAGAGTTAGACCTTATTCATGAAATAAAAATGTGTTAACTTTTCAAATCCTGAGCCTGCTCACGAGAGACAATCGTCTCAAAATACTTTGAAGTTCCTGCAACTAGTGGCTGGCATATGAAAAAGGACCTTGTAACAAAGAAATTCCTAACGTATGACCGTATTTCACATATGGAGAATAGGTGGGTTACATAAAGGATTCCGCTTGTTTAACAGGAAACAAGAGGTAACATTTACTTAACACATTATGTTAAGCAGGTTACCTGAATTCTCATAGGACCTTCCCAGTAATCTTAAATTAGTTCCTACTATTACTCCTCATTTCACGTAAGAAACTAAAACCTAGAGTGTAATTTGTCCAAGACCTGTTTCAACCTCATACTGTACTTCAGTTCTCAAATGTTACACTACACCAACTTCCCTAGGCAAGGACCTTCAGTAATTTATTCTCTTGCTCAGGCAGTTAAACAAAACACGAAATACAAGTTTTGGCTATTTTGGCTATTTTTGGGAGTTTAAAGAGGTGAACTACTCTAGGTCTTTTATTATTTTTTAAAACTTGATTTACTTATTTAGTGTGTGTGTGTGTGTGTGTGTGTATGGGGGGGGGGGGAGGGAGGGGGGCGTGCAATCGGGGTAGGGGCAGAGAGAGAATTCCAAGCAGGCTCTGTGCTGTCAGCAGAGAGCCCACTGCAGGGCTCAATCCCACTCAGGAGCGGAGATCAAGAGTCAGATGTTTGAGCCACACAGGCACCCCTACTGTAGTACTTTCAAATCGAAGCATTTACTCATCAGTAATTTAATGAAATTTACTTTTACCCTGTCTCTTTCCCAAGAGAATTTAAAGTTGCTCACTTGCATTATTTTCAGTGTCTCAAAGCTCAGTATGAACAAGATACTTAATGTAATAGGTTTCCTCTCTTAACAAGAACTTTCATGTAGTTAGAAACTTCAATTTCATCAGTAATGCCTTCAGATGATAAACTTTAGTTTTGGAATCGTGTCTTACCAAGATCCCTTCCCACAACCCTACCAAGGTGTGGGGCTTTGGAAAAAAAATACATATACATATGTATACATGCATATGTACTGGGCCACCGTCACTATGTATTTTTCCTTTGGCACTTCTATTCACGAACTTCAAAGGTGCTGAGCTTAAACAAAAAAGCAAGAAAGAAACTGGCTTGGAACTGAAGAAAAACTTCTTTGAAAGGAAGTGTGGTATGGTGGCCTGGAGGGTGGGCTCAGGAACTAGACTGCCCAGCTTCAGGTCCCAGCTCTTCTCTGTACTAGCTGGGTGACCCTGCATGAGTTATTTAATCCCCATGGCTCAGTTTACTCTTCTATAAAATGAGAATAATAAAAGTCCTTTATCTCAGAGGGTGATTTTGGGGATTAATGTGCTCATACGTGTAGAACGCCAGATAAGCACTCAATAGTTGTTATGACTACTCTTCAAATCTAATAAAACATATGAATTCTAGGAAAGGCCCTAACGTAAAAATACTCCGTAGAGTTTTGCAGACCTCCTAAGAATTTAGTAAAGAAAAAAGACAATTACATAACCAGGGGTATGCTTGTGTCTCGTACAGCTCTAAACTAAGAATGTAGATCTGACTTCTTACAAAGTTCAAAGTGTAGTATCTGCCCTGAAGAAGACATCTTTATTCTTCACGAGGAAAAGGACTTTGCTTTGTTCACTCCCTTCCCCCAACACCTAGAGAACTGTGCCTGGCCACGGGAGCCATTCAAAAAAATATTTATGGAAGAGACAACTGAAGATGGAAACCTAAAATAAGCGGCTCTCCAATCTATCTATTTTGCCATGGCTGCAAAACTTTAACCTCGATACGGCAACGTCTAAGCAAAGAACTGTCCACAGGAGGGTTATGCCGTCCCACTCCCCTTACCCTACAGACAGTGCAGGTATATATTAAGGCAGCTTTGGCAGCAGCCTTTTGGTCATGTCCTTGTTTCTTCTTTTGTCCAGCTTGCTTTTTGGCATTTTTCTGCTGCGACTGAATCTTCTGCTGTCCACGAGCCATATCTAAAAACAGAAGTTGAGGCATTAGAGTGATTAATACCGAGTAATCGAAGTATGGTAATGCTCTCAAGAGTTGAAGACTTAAGTTTTATAGAGCTGTCAGTCAAAATGTATGGGTTTTCAAATTCTCACATACAATGCTACTAGAGAATAAATTAGTACAACCACTGTCGAAAACTGTTTTGGTGTACTCTATAAACCTAATAATTCCACTCCCGATATAAATGCAAATGTACATATCCACCCAACAGAAATGTTGCATTTCCCAACAGAACTGCAAATGTACATATCCACCCAAAGGCAGTACAAGAATGTCCAGAGTACTTGTTTCCAAAACTGGAAACGGTGCAAATTCCAGTTAATAAAATGGATACATAACTTGTGGTATACTTATCAATGGAATACTACCTGCATTCACAAAGAAAAAAACTATGGTTACAAGTAACAGGGTCGTATCCAGTGTTAAAGAAAAGAAGCCAGACACAACATACGGGTCGCATACAGTTCAAAACAGGCAAAGCTAATCTAGGAGGTGGTGACTGGGAAAAAAGCGCACGGAGGGCAGTTGATACGTTCTATCTCTTGATCAGGGTGATGGTTATATAGGTGTGTTCACTTGTAAAAACTCACTGAGCTGTACATCTAAGACCTGTACAGTCTGCCGTACGTAACCTTCAAAACTTTGCCAAAAAAGTTTAGCACTCTTCCCCAAGCAATTGCTTGATCACTTTGCAAAGGTACTTTCCCTTTCTAGTATTAACTGTCATGAATTAAGATTCTTACAATTTAAGAGAAATTTAGAGCTGTCATCTAAAGGTTCTGAAGGAGATCCTAAGAGCAGTGGGAACTGTTCTCCTAAGTACTCAGGTTACATAAAACCACTATGCTATTCTAAATCTTTCTAAACAATTGATCTTTGCAGGATTGCTGGAGAAATTACTAAACAAGATTACATTAGTTCCCAATTGAGAGAATAAACCTTGTAAAAAGGGTAAAGGTACCTTTACAAAAATGAAAGGTACCACTTTTTACTACTGATAGTCTGAAATGAAGCTAAATGGGTTAAAAATAAATGTCACTGAAAAAGTTACTTTTACTTTTTCATTAAATTTAAGTCTTCTTGGAGCACCTGGGTGGCTGTTGGTTGATTCTTGATTTCAGCTCAGGTCAGGATCTCGCGGTTATTGAGTTCAAGCCCCACACTGTCAGTACAGAGCCTGCTTGGGATTCTCTCTCTCCCTCCCCTGCTCTTGCTTGCTCTTCAAATAAACTTATAAAACAAAAACAAAAACAACAAAAAAAAAAGAAGAACTGCAGAAACTTAAAAAAAAAATTAAAGGCTTCTCAAACCAAGAAACAGATTCTTAACTATAAAGACCTGATGGTTATCAGAGGTGGGTAGGGGGATGGGTGAAAATAGGTGATGGGGATTAAGGAAAACACTCATCATGATGAGCATTGAGTAATGTATAGAATTACTGAATCACTAATATTGTACACCTGAAATTAATATAACACTACATGTTAACTCTACTGGAATTAAAATAAAAACTTAATAAAAAAACATTAAAGTCTTCTTTTGGGCAACACACGTTAAACCTGCTCCTAAAGGGCCTAGGAGCCCCAGCTACCTTTTAAATATATTGAAATTGGGTCCTAAGTAGAATTCCTATGTACAGCTTTGACTAGCAATGCAATTAAGTTTTAAACTTCTAAATCACTGCAGGGCATGAACATAACATGGACCTACATCACCTCTAACCAGAAAACAGTACTGGCTTTTTCTGACTGGGATCCTAATTAGTTAATGAATATAAAATCAAAGCATTTCATGGAAGCACACGAGGTTCTCCCGAAAAAAGGAAAAAGGGAAACTGAATACATAAATACACTGCTTGGACAAGTTCCCACTAGTATTTAACACTGAACTGAAAGTCAAGTAAAATATAGAAGAGACTCAATGCTTTTCTAAAAAGCCAGCTATTTTAACAAACTACAAAAATTTTTAGTATGCTAGCCTAATGTAAGAACCCCGTTCCCATATAATGGTAAATATTACCAGATGTGTTAGTCCTTGAACACCAAACTTCCATTTTCGCTTTTCAAAAGCCAAATATTTATTATTTCCAAGCCAAACGGAATGATTTTAAGTATATTTAACTACAAATGTTATGGCAGCGTATCAAACCTGTTCCCACAGAAACCGTTTTTAGATACTTGAGTATGATGCGGATGCTAATAGGTATGCAATCTTTATGTATCCCAGTCTAGTATAACATGTTGTATCAGTACCTTATGTTAGAATACTTCAGTCCTCTCAGGCTTCTGAACTCTTCTACACAATGTCTGCCATGCATGCTAACACTGATTTTGCGGGTAACCTCAATTGTTTTAATGCCACTGAGTCCTGAAATTTCTTTGATAATTACAAGATATTAGCTATTCTGATACCACTTTCAGGCAGTGCTCTGTACACTGTCATGAGATGAATATTATTTTTAACTTTTCCACCTAGCACTTCTCCTAAAATATAACATTACACCACAGATTTAACCTATTTTCCACTGTCATCTAAAGTAGTAAATAAAACCATAAAAGCTTTGATAAGTATAAAGGCTGTTGTCGCTTCTTCTTATTTTTAAAACACAAAACTGAACACCCCGTAAAGGAAATCGAATCAACCGTCTACATGCGTGGGGTAGGCCCCTAACTTCCAACAACTCACTGCATTAATTTCCTTTCTGAAAGCAGAAATGCAAACGAACAAGCCACCTGCTTTTGGACAGCTCAACTTAAGAAATGCTCTCAAGCCAAATCGAATTTTCTACAAAATCTTAAGCACAACTTCTTAATTACATACGACAAACTCAGGGGCAACAAGTCACTTACAAATACCTTAAACGCAGATTTTTAATGTTACTCTTATTTACTGCAATTTTCCGAGAGGGCTGCAAAGAGGGAAGTAGAACGAATAAAGAGTTGCTCTAAAATGAAGAGCTTTTTACAGGAGGCAACAAGTAAGGAGTGCCCCCTAAGATCCTCTTAAAACCCAAACAACTGAGTAAGAAAAGATTTTTCGATCCAGGAAGTAGGATCATTCTCCATAACCATCTGAAACGAAGAGGCCCAGGCAGTGATCAACATCCTGACCCCCACGTTTTAACTACATCCGTTCACCGAGGGTAGAGAAAAGCACCAGGAGTAAGGTCTATCTCACCCAACACTTGACCGACCCCAGCTGCAGCCCGGCCCACCTTCCTTCCCAACCGGCCTCTCCCGCCTCGGGGAGCTCCTTCCCCGGTCCGGCCACACAGCCCCCACCTACCCGCCACTCCGCACAGATTCCGGCCCGAGACGCGCCTCCCCGAGGCTTTGGCCGCCCCAAACCCGGCCCCTTCGGCCACGGGGAGCCCGGGCCTCGAGAAACCGACCAGCTGCTGTCGCCAAGGGGTAAGGTTACCGCTCCGCTCCGCGGCCTGCAACCCGGCCACCTGCAGGGCCTGGCAGGCGCCCGAGCTCTCCCTCCTGCCCGCGGCCCGCGCTGGGACAGGACGGGCCGCCGCCTGGGAGACGGGGAGGCCGGCGGCCCCTCGCGACCCGCGGCGACCCCGCCGCCGGGCCCCCACCCCGGCTCCCGGACGTCCTGCGGCGTCAGCGCCGCCCCCACTGCCGCTCACCCGGGCCGGGACAGTCTTGTGTCGGAGAGACCGCGCAGCGCGAGAGGGCCGGGGGAGGTGGCCGGAGGGAGAGCAAGGGGGAGCGCGCCCAGCACCGCTTCGGCCTCCTCCACCCGCCAAGGAGGGGAAAGAGGAGAGCGGAGAGCACAACAGCCCGCGCCTCGAACCCGCCGCCGCGCGCGCCCGCCGCCGCCTCGGCCTGGGGGGAGGCCACTACGCTCGTGCCCGCGCACGCCGCGCAGCTCTCCCAGTCGCCCCAGCGCCCGCCCGCTTTTCGCCGCCCACTCGCCTTCCTGCTGCGGCCACCTCCCCCGCCCCTCCTCTGCTCGCACGCCTGCGCCCTTTCCGGTCGCGCAGGCCAATGGCAGCGCGCCCCTATTACATAAGCGCCAGGGGGCGGGGCCTGGCGGCGCCGGCGACCCCTGCGAGACGGGAACTGCAGGGGACGTCGCCCTCTGTCCCCGGCGCCCCTCCTCTCCCGCGTGCGCTATCTAGGCGGCTTCAGCCGGCGCCGCGCCGCGTGTTCGCTGTCCTGCTGGGTGACGGCCCGCGGCGCGTTTCACAAGTCGCTCGCTAGCACACTCACTCGGGCGGCGGCCCGCCTCGGCCCCCGCGGCCCTTCGCACTCGCCTCCCGCCTCGCCGGCGCCCTGTTATGCTGTGGCTCCGGGGACTGGCCGGGAGAGGTGCGCCAGCGCCGCGGCGGCGTGGGACACCGGGCAGCCCGCCACCCGGACGCACCGCCGCCCTCGCCCCCAGTGCGGCCCGTGGGCCCGGCAGCTCCTAATAGGGACGCGGCCTTTGTTCTCTCATCGGCCTCCCTTTACCGCGTTCCCACGGAAACCCCGGTTATTTACTTATTTATTTATTTTACCAATCTGGGGTTTTTAGGGAGTTCAGGATTCCAGCCTCAGTGTTGCTGGCTAGGGCTCCCTGATCGGATTAGCGGACTACTAACTATACAGAGTTGCTAATATTTGGGGGAAATGGCTAAGTTGGGTTGGTTTGGTTTCTCTTGATTTATAGGCCACAACAGCCAACTTCCAGTATCTGATTAAGAGCGATTGCGATTGTAACGATTATTGTATCTGCTGATTATCTGGAAAGGGCATTTTAGACATTGGCTTTATTCTCTCGTGCACCCACCCCACCCCCCCTTGTTGGTTTCTAATTAGATTTATTCGTAACAAGGAAAAGGGAGGCTTTTGCATTTGACCCAGTCACCTTGCCCATAGCCTCCACTCTCCCAAATTTGCCTGTAAGTGCGCAGGAGTTGCTAGTTTAATATAACTACATCCCAGGTTAGCTGGACTGGGATACAGATATTACAACTGAACTGTTTAAAATAACCAGGAAAGGGGCGCCTGGGTGGCTCAGTCGCTTAAGCCTCCGACTTGAGCTCAGGTCATGATCCCACAGTTTGTAAGTTCAAGCCCTTCATCAGGCTTTGTGCTGACAGCTCAGAGGCTGTAGCCTGCTTGGTATTCTGTGTCTCCTCCTCTCTCTGCCCCTCCCATGCTCTTGCTCTGTCTCTCTCTGTCTCTCAATAATAAATGTTAAAAAAAATTTTTTTTAATCTCTTTAGTTTTCAGTTGTAAGCTAATTTTCATCACCACATGCCCAAATAGATATTGACCAAAGGAACTGGAGGTGTCTAGAGAAACCAAAACTTGGCATATCATGAAGCTCTAGCTTAATCAATATTCACCATAACCATAATAACTGTATTAACCTGTCTACTAGAAGGGGATTGTGGTATTTGGAGAACCTAGAGACAGGAAATCCAAAGAGTTGTGTTTGGCCATGAATCAGAGTGGGCAGTGGAAAGGGACAGCGAAATTTGGCCAGCTAAGATAAGTCGTCTTAACTAGAGAGGTGATTTTTGCTGTGAAATAGTATTAATATGCCACTTGTTACCAAGGCCTAGGTGAAACATCCATTTAAGCCAGTGTTCCTTAAAATTCTGCATTATACCACCTTTGAGAATTTGGTAAAAGCTAAGGAGTGTGCTCCCGGAAAGTTCATATACCTAAAAACTCAGCCCCATTGGTACAGTTTCTCAACCTTGGCACTACTGATGCTTTGGGCTAGATAATTCATTGTTATGAGGGGCTGCCCTGGGGATTGTAAGATGTGAGGCAACATCCCTGTCCTGTACCCTTTTGAAGTCAGTAGCACCCTATCTCCAGTTCTGACAAAAGAAAAATGTCTCCATACCTTTCCACATGTCTTCTGGGGGTCAAAAAACTCCCTTGGTTGAGAACTACTGCATAGAGGGTGTGGTATTATAGTAACTATATGTTGGTTAGGGCATTTGAAATCTGAAGGGAAAAAAGGAAAAAAGGAATGGGTAAGATTCAGCATCTGAGAAGTGACAAACAGTAAAGGAAAGGCGGATGAATTAGCATTACTACCAGCTGGTGTCCTACTTATTCTATAGAAATGTGGCAGCAAATGGGATATGAACGCCTCGGAAGGATTTTTATACACATTTCTGCTTTTAATTGTGAATGCTGCAGTATTTCTACTGACTGGTTTTCTTCTTCTACCTTTAGAAAATTACTCTAGGTTAATATGCAATAAGCATGTGCCTATTTTCAATCCAAAATCACAATCAGATTAAAATGCTTCTCTGGAGACTTGAAAAGACTGATTTATTTGTATTCATGTCTGATTTTCAGGGCTGAGAGAGCTGATGGTTAATCAATATATTATTTCTCAAATGAACGGATTATTCTGAATCACTTTTCCCAATTTATCTGTGATATGTAGGTTAATAGCTAAATATAGGAAAGTGCTTAGCTTAGAGAGGTTCGTTAGAGTATAAAAGAGGCAAGGTCCTGGCCCCATAGGTCCTTCCACTTAGTGATGCACAATAATAGCAATAATGACAACAATAACTCAAAACAAAAATGTTCCCTTTTCTATATCTTATTCTTCTAATCGACTTCTTATTGTGATTTCTCAGGGCAGGAACCTCTGTTTTCCCAAAGGAATCTCATTCATTGCCGTGGCTTTAAAATAATGAACTTCGGGGGTGCCTGAGTGGCTCAGTCGGTTGAGCATCGGACTTCAGCTCAGGTCATGATCTCATGGTTTGTGAGTTTGAGCCCTGTGTCAGGTTTTGTGCTGACAGCTCAGAGCCTGGCGCCTGCTTTGGATTCTGTGTCTCCTCTCTCTGCCCCTCCCCTGCTTGTGCTCTGTCTCTTTCTCTCTCAAAAATAAATAAACATGAAAAAAAATTTTTTTTAATAATAAAATAATGAACTTCAGATGACCCTACATCTATCTTCTAGTTCAATTCTCTTCTGATTTCTAAATTGATATATCCAAATGCCTATTTTCCATTTCCACTTTAATGTTTTATAGACATTTCACATTTAATACCGTATGGTATTGAATCAAAGAAGCTATTGATGGTAAATCACATTTATCTCCACCAAGATAAAAAAAAAAAAATTACTGCCACTTGTACTATGGCATAATGCTAAGATACCCTTGATTGTACAGTATCTCAATTTCAGAGATGTTAGAATTGGTTTTTAAAATACTGCAATTTATTAGAATAGCATCAAAAAGAATAAAATACTTAGGAATAACTTTACAAAGAAGTGCAAAACTTATATTCTAAATGCTACAAAACATTGTTGAAAGAACTTAAAGAAAACCTAAATAAATGGAAAGGCATTCCATGTACATGGATCAAAAAATGTACTATTATAAAACTAGCAATATTCCCCAAATTTATCTGCAGATTCAGTGCTTCCCCTATCAAAATCTCAGCTGTCATTTTTGCATAAATCAACAAGCATATTTTGAGATTCACCTGGAAATTCCAAGGAACTCAGGGTAAAATAAGAAATAGATTTGGTCTTCAACCAAAGCTCCTAAACCCTTGGAATTTCCTGAGTGTTAGGAGTGTCTTTTGTCATTGATAAGGAGCTCCTTTTGAGCTTACCTGAATTTATGCTAATTCGTGGCTTAGGGTGGGGCTCCTAGATGGTCTCCAGATAAGACTGGTGAACATATCAAACAAGGGAGTAGAGGATTAAAACTGTCTTTTTTTTTTTTTTTAATGTTTATTTCTTTTTGAGGGAGGGGTGGGAGGGGCAGAGAGAGAGGGAGACACAGAATCTGAAGCAGGCTCCAGGCTTTGAGCTTAATCAACTGAGCCACCCAGGAGCCCCAAGGATTAAAACTTTCATCAACAATAGCCAGACTATTGAAAAGAGCCCAAGAGTCCATCAATAGATGAAAGGATAAAGAAGATGTGGTATATAGGGGCACCTGGGTGGCTCAGTGGGTTAAGCCTCAGACTTCAGCTCAGGTCTTGATCTTGTGGTTTGTGAGTTGGAGCCCAGTGTTGGGCTCTGTGCTAACAGCTCAGAGCCTGGAGCCTGCTTTGGATTCTATGTCTCCCTCTCTCTCCTCCTTCCCCTGCTCACACTCTCTTTCTCAAAAACAAACATTAAAAAAAGAAGATATTTTATATAAATATATATATATACACACACACATATATATTCCATTATATATATTATATACATATTCCATTATATATATTATATATGTATTCCATTATATATATTATATATATATTCCATTATATATATTCCATTACACATATATTATATACGTATATGTATATATTATATATAATATATGTGTAATGGAATATTACTCAGTCATCAAAAAGAATGAAATCTTGCCATTTGCAATGACGTGGATGGACCTAGAGTGTATTATGCTAAGTGAAATAAGTCAGAGAATGGCAAATGCCATTTGATTTCACTCTTCTGTGGAATTTAGAAATTAAAACAGATGAACATATGGGAAGAAAAAAAAGGGAAAGGGAAGCAAACCGTAAGAGACTCTTGACAATAGAGAACAAACTGAGGGTTGATGGAGGGAGGGAAGTGGGGGATGGGCTAAATGGGTGATGGGTATTAAGGAGGGCACATGTTACGACAAGCACTGGGGGCTATATGTAAGTAATGAATCACTAAATTCTCCTGAAACCAATGTTAACACTCTATGTTAACTAGAATTTAAATAAAAATTTGGAAGAAAAAAAAAAAAACCTTTCAGCCCTAACCACCAAGCTCTAGGAAGGCAAAGGGAGGGGGCTGGAGATGAAGCTCTATAAAAACTATTGAGCAAGATTAGATGAGCTTCCAGGTTGGCAAACTTATCCACATGCTGGGAAGGTGGCACACACCCCATATGCTGTTCCATGGGGACAGAAGCCTCTGCACCTGGGACCCTTCTGAACTTTGCCCTATGTACCTCTTTATCAGGCTGCACATCTGTATCCTTTATAATGTCTTTTATAATAACAGTTTAAACATAAGTAAATGTTTCTCTGAGTTTTGTGAGCTGTTCTAGCAAATTAATCAAACCTAAGGAGGTAATCATGGGGACCTCTAATTTATAGCAGGTTAGTCACAAGCACAGGCAACAGCCTGAACTTGCTACTGGCATCTGAAGGGCGGGGGTGGTGGCAGAGGGCACTGTCTTGTAGGACTGAGCTGTTAACCTGTGAGACCTGATGATATCCCCGGGTAGATAGTGTCAGAATTGAGTTAAACTGTAGGACACCCAGCTGATCTTGCAAAATTGTTTGATGTTTGGAAAACCTACATGTCTGGTGTCAGAAGTGAAGTAGTGTTGTTCTGAAGTATTGGGAGTAGAGGAGACACGGGGAGAGGAGGAGGAGTCTGCTCTCTATTTACATCAGAATAGCCAAAACAACGTTGAAAAGAGGACCCAAGTTGGACGACTTACCCTTCCCAATTTCAAAACTTGGCTGTAAAGCTACAGTAGTTAAGACTATGGTACTTGGAGAAGAACAGACATTTGGGGGGCACCTGGGTGGCTCAGTCAGTTAAGCATCTGCCTTCGGCTCAGGTCATGATCTCGCTGTTCATGATTTCAAGCCCCACATCAGGCTCCCTACTGTCCACGCGGAGCCTGCTTCAGATCCTCTGTCCCCCTCTCTTTCTCCCCCTCTCCTGCTTGCACACACACACTCACAAAAATAAATAAAAACTTAAAAAAAAAATTAAAAAAAAAAACCCAGGCATTTGGTCAATCAGATAGACTTGAGAACCCAGAAATATTCACACTGATTTCAACACAGATGCCAAGAAAATTCAACAGGGAAAGAATAGTCCTATCAACAAATGGTGGGGGAACACTTGGATATCCACATGCAAAAGAATGAAATTGAAACCTTATCTTATGCCGTACACAAAAATTAATCAAAATGGATCACAGACCTAGGTGTAAATGCTAAAGTATAAAATTTTTAGGAAGAAAATATAGGAATAAATCTGCATGACTTTCAGTTAAGCAAAGCTTTCTTAGATATGACACCAAAAGCATTCATGACAAAAGAAGTAACCTATTTAAATAATGGGTAACAAATCTGAGTAGATATTTCTTCAAAGAAGATATACAAATGGCCAATGTATACAAGAAAAGGTGCTCACTGTTATTAGCCATCATGGAAATACAAATCAAAATACTGAGATAGTATTTCACACCTACTAAAATGGTGGATGTAATAAAAAAAGACCGGAATTATGTGTTGGAATGGATGTGGAAAAAATGGGACCCCCATACTTGCAATGTAAAATGGTGCAGCCTCTTTGGAAAATATTCTAGCAGTTCCCCAAAAGGTTAAATATAGGGCTGCCATACGATTCAGGAATTCCTATTCTAGATCTATATCTGAGAGAAAGGAAAACATACATCTACTCAATAGCTTGTACATGAATGCTCAAAATAGCATTTTGGCTATTTATAATAGGCAAAAAGTAGAAACAACCCAAATTTTCATCAACTGATGAGTTGATACATTAAAGTGGTGTATATATATATATATATATATATATATATACACACACACCATATATATATATATATATACACACACCATATATATATACACACACACCATATATACACATTTTATATATATAATAATTATATATTTTTTATATTATATAATTTATATCATATAATAATAATTATATATATAATATGGAATATATATAATATTCCATTTAAGGAATATATATATATATTTTTAAAAAAATCCCTAAATGGAATATTATACACCCATAAAAATGCATGAAGCACATGGCCAAATATTGAAAACATTATGCTAAGCGAAAGAAACCAGTCACAGAAGATCATATATTATGTGATTTAATTTATATGAAATGTCAAAAATAGGCAAGTCTTTAAAGATGAAGTAGATTAGTGGTTGCCTAGGGCTGGGAGAATTGGAAGGAGATGGGAAGTATATGGTAATGGGTACAGACTTTCTTTTGGGATGATGAAAATGTTTTAAAATTGACTGTGGTGATGATTGCACCACTCTGAATATACTGCAAACTACTGAATTGTGTACTTTAAATGAGTGATTTGTATCTTATGTGAATTATATCCCATCAAACTGTTATATTAAAAAATTTTTTTAATGCTTATTTATTTTTCAGAGACAGAGACAGAGAGAGAGTGTGAGTCGGGGAGAGACAGAGAGAGGGAGACACAGAATCCAAAGCAGGCTCCAGGCTTCAAGTTGTCAGCACAGAACCCCATGTGGGGCTTGAATTCACAAACCGCGAGATCATGACCTGAGCCGAAGTCGGATGCTTAACTGACCGAGCCACCTCCCTACCATGGGGCCTTGCTATATGCCCTCCCCTCTCTTGTATGCCCTGCCCTCCCTTCCAGTATGTCTACTTTATATTCCTTCTTCAAATTCCAGCTAAAATATCACATTCTCAGAAAAGCCTTCCTTCCTTGAGCCCCCATCTAAATGAGGATTCCTCTGTGTGGAGAAAAAGGAACTCTCATACACTGTTGGTGGGAATGTAAACTGGACAGCCATTGTGGAAGACAGTGTGGAGGTTCCTCAAAAAATTAAAAATAGAGATACCATATGATCCAATAATTCCACTATTCGGTACTTACCCAAAGAAAACAAAAACACTAATTCAAAAAGACATATGCATTCCTATGTTTATTGCAGCATTATTTACAATAGCTAAGATGCGGAAGCAACCTAAGTGTCCACTGATAGATGAGTGGATAAGGGAGATGTGGTACACACACACGCACACACAAGTGCGCACGCACATTGGAATATCACACAGTCGTGAAAATGGATGTGATCGTGCCTTTTGAGACAACATGGATGGACCCAGATGCTACGTGAAATAAGTCAGAGTGAGAGAGACAGATACCACATGATTTCACTCATATGTGGAATCTAAAACAAAAATAAATAATCGAAAAGCAAAATCAGACCTATACATACAGAGAACAAGCTGATGGTTGCCAGAGGGAAATGGTGAGATGAGCAAAATGGGCGAAGGAAAGAGGGAGATACAGACTTCCAGTTATGGAGTAAATACGTCATAAGAATAAGACGCACAGCAGAGGGAATATAGTCAATAATATTGTAACAGCAATATACGGTGACTACACATGTGGTGAATATAGCATAATGTGTAAACCTGTCAAATCACTATGTTGCACATCTGAAACTGATACAACATTGTCAATTATACTCAAATAAGAAAATTTTAAAAAAGACAGAAACACAAATACAAAAGGCAATTCTAAGAAAGGGAAGCATTTTATACTGTCGACTATGCTCATGAAAGTAAAAATATTGAATAGCAAAGAATAGGAAAGCTAGGGGCGCCTGGGTGGCTTGGTCGGTTAAGTGTCCGACTTCGGCTCAGGTCATGATCTCACGGCCCGTGAGTTCGAGCCCCGCGTCAGGCTCTGTGCTGACCGCTCAGAGCCTGCAGCCTGTTTCGGATTCTGTGTCTCCCTCTGTCTCTGCCCCTCCCCTGTTCATGCTCTGTCTCTCTCTGTCTCAAAAATAAATAAACGTAAAAAAAAAAAAATTAAAAAAAAAGAATAGAAAACCTATAATGGAGTGGGGTGTGGAACAGTATTTGAGTGGATGGCGTCAAGGTTATTGATTCCTTTAAGGGTGGCTAATGAATGCAGGAAAACCTTCAGGTACTTACTTTTACAAAGAGCTCCGTTGGGGCACCTGGGTGGCTCAGTCGGTTAAAGCGTCCCACTCCAGCTCCAGCCACGATCTCATGGTTCATGAGTCCAAGCCCCACACTCAGATCACGGAGCCCACTTGGGATTCTCGCTCTCTCCTCTCTCTCCCCCTCTCTTCCTCATGCTTTCTCTCTTGGTCCCTCAAAATAAATAAACAAACTTAAAAAAAAATAATAAAAAGAGCTTTGCTGAGGTGTAACTGACACACAATAAACTGAATATACTTAAAGTGTTAACAGATAAACAGACAAACAAGGATTCGTCTGGTTTAGTACTCTTGTAGCACTCTGTACTTTTCATTCTTAGTAATTTATTATAAATATAGACATCATATTCACATATACATAAACACGTATGTATATACATATACAACCATATATAATTATATATATAAGTTCGTGGAATATATGTACATTTTTCCTTTCCATTTGACTCCTAAAACAATAATATGTAACATTTCTGTATTGCCTACTCTCTACCAGGTACTATTACACATACTTGATAGTACTTCACACATTTTCATTCATGTAATTGTGTCAACAATTCTTAGGTAACTGAGGTATAAAATGGTTAAGTTGTTTCTGATTCTGTGTCTCCCTCTCTCTCTGCCCCTCCCCCGTTCATGCTCTGTCTCTCTCTGTCCCAAAAATAAGTAAATGTTGAAAAAAAAAATTTTTAAATGGTTAAGTAAGTTACCCAAGATTACATGACTAGAAAGTGGAAAAGATTTTTTTTTAAGTTTATTTATTTATTTTTGAGAGAGATCGCGTGAGAGAGTGGGAGTGGAGGTAGGGCAGAGAGAGGGAGAGAGAGAATCCCACCAGCGCAGAGCCCAATGCAGGCCCGATGGGGGACCCAAACCCACCAACGAAGAGATCGTGATCCCAGTGGAAGTCAGACACTTACCCAACTGAGCCACCCAGGCAGGCCGAAGGTGGAAAATATTTGACCCCGGCAGTCTGGTTCCAGATCCTGGGCTGACTGTTCTACATCACAACGGAAGGCCCATAGCTCCCTGGTTACCCCTGTGTAACCAGCATTGAGCACAGTGCTTGGCAGGGTGTAAGCATCAATAAACACTTGTCGAATGAAGATACACCTGAATGATCCCTCCATACTAGGTTAGAAGTCCTCCTCTAAGTATCACAGAGCATGCTGTAATAGCATTTACACAGCGATAATAATGTAGATATGGATCTAACCACAATTATAACTACAAATATAACTTAATTGGGAGGATGCAGGGATGTGAAGTCGAGGCAGGATGGGGCCAAGGAGGTGGGAAGAGCACTGAAAGCGAGCTAAATTCTTACTTGCCACGGTGGGAAGTCCTTGGATGATGCGTAACACTGAGAAAAACTTGCAGGAAATGGTAGTATAAGAATATTTTGCAGAGGTGTAGAGGTAAATACCAAAAGAATTGACGGACAGGATTGTACACAGCTGTGGCTGAAAAGAGAGAAAACGGCAGGCAGGAAACTGCAACTGTTTTTCCTAACTAGCCTGGTAGGACTAGTAGGGTGTTTTAACTGTGTGCATGCGTTACTGTGACAAAACAAAAACTAACTGAACAAAATAGTCTGCGTTTCTAATCATTTTCTAACCGTATCTGTTTCCAGGCAGTATGTATGTCTTCATAGTGCTCGGTGCTTCAGAAAGACGGATGAACAATTCCGGGTATTATAATGAGTCCAGGTTTTATTAGCACCTTGGCATCTCCCTGCAGTTAGTCTCTGCTTCTCATTCCAGGTAAGGACATGCCTTGGCTTCCCCTGTTCCATTTTTCTAGTTCTCGGCATACCGTCTTTATCTTTAGACTCAGGCAGCTGAATCAGCTAGGGGGAAAAGTATCCAAAATGTAATGTGCCTGTCCTTGCTGCCTTTACATTATTACTCTTAAACAGGTGGAAACACCGAGACAAAACAGAAAAGTCAAGAATGGAGTGTTTCATTCTTCCCCAGACAGCAATTCATACAGATGTCTACTGGGTGAGGGCCTTTGCCTTGATCTTAACCAGAGAGCTGTCTTGGTCTAGCTGATGGCTTTGATTTTGTCCAAAGTCCACTGATTGCATTGGTGGCGGCAGGCTGATTCCATATGGAGAAATCTGTCCTGAAAATGACTCCTGTAGTTTCCCCTGACTTCTGCTGATCTGCAGAGACATTTTTCTAACGTCTCCACTTTGAACCATTACTTTGGAGGAGAGAAGACAAGAAAAAAGCATTTAGTTGCACTCTGAAATGTAACTACTTTTTGGCTGAGTATGGTTATTAATGTTTCTAATTACATGCTTAATTATATTCTGTGTTTGATTTTAATAGTAGTTAAGCCATTGAGACTCCGGAGAATGTTTAATGGTTGATTCCCCAGATATAAAATGAAAGAGGGGGTTTGAGTGACTTCCCAGACCCCTCTAGTCCTTGAACGTCTATGACTTGATGACTCAACATGAACTTCATGGTCTTTTAAAAGAACTCTATTTATGAAAGGCAGAATTAAAACCACTCCAAACTCCATCCAGCTGCATTTTTTTTTCTTTTTTTTTTTAAGGTATGCTTCACACCCAGTGCAGAGCCCAATGCAGGGCTTGAACTCATAACCCTGAGATCAAGACCTGGATGCTTAACCAACTGAGCCACACAGGTGCCCCACCCAGGTACAGATTTGAAACCAAGGCTGCTCACTATTTACAAAGAAGATGACAATGTAGTTTCTGCATACTATAGGAGAACTCTAAGTGTTTGAGGGATGGGTTGAAAATAGTATGAAGAAGGAAACACTTGTTTGAAACTAATGTCACTGTGTTCATCATGTTTTTTGTTTCCCGTGTCTTATGGCGTTTTAATATTTGGGAGGCCTTCCAGCCCCAGGGAGAGACTGCCCCTCCCGGTGCTAGCTACTTCCTGAGGATAATGGCAACCTGCCTAGAACTATGCCTTCTGTATGCACGTATAGTCTCGTGTGTATCCCCTCAACGCTCTCCCTGACTCTCCGACAGCACACCAGTGTTAACCCCGACCTAAGTCATCCCAGGGCCAGGTACCAGTCAATCAGAGATCATCCCTATAGCCCCCAAACTGGCCTGAATTATTCAAACTGGCTAATTCTAAAATGTTTGCTCTGCCCAGCCTTGACTTTCCCACACCAACCCCGATAAAGGCGCTGGCCTAGGCTTTCCCCTGGCTTCTGCTTCTGTGTCCTAACTACAACCTGGTACCCACCCTGTGACCCTGCGTTGGTGTGGTGGGCCCCCTTCTCTGTGGTAACGTAAGTAATAAACTCTTTTTTCAATGGCATTGACCTCGCCATTTCGTCATTCCGTTGCTTCCATAAATTAAAACCTCATGGGTACAAATGAGACAATGATCTGCACTCAGTGTTTGTTGAGTGCGGAAACTGGGAGAATTCCCTGGCCTCCATGTTCTTTGTAGGTATGGTTGGCTCACCTGCTTGGGACACCTTACAAATGATAATCCAGACTTCTAACTCAGTCCCCACGCAGGCCACGTAGCTTTATAGCATTTCATGATCACGCATCCAACCCCGAGACTGGGTCAAATTCCCAAAATAAATGTTTTATCTTAAAGTATAATGTGACAGGCATGTGGGGATAGAGGTGGAGAATGACAGATAAGCACTTCAGCTTGTTATTTGGGAGCCATTAGTCATAGGACATGCCCTGCTGAAGCCAGGTCCCTAGTATTGTCTTCCCATATAAAACTGAATTCATAAAGAAGACATCCAGATGGCCAACTGACACATGAAAAAATGCCCAACATCGCTCTCATCATCAGGGAAATACAAATCAAAAGCACAATGAGATACCACTTTACACCTGTCGGAATGGCTAACATTAACAACTCAGGCAACAACAGACGTTGGCGAGGATGCAGAGAGAGAGGGTCTCTTTTGCACTGCTGGTGGGCATGCAAACTGGTGCAGTCACTCTGGAAAACAGTATGGAGGTTCCTCAAAAAATTAAAAATAGAACTACCCTATGACCCAGAAACTGCACTGCTCGGTATTTATCCAAGGGATACAGGTGTGCTCTTTCGAAGGGACACATGTACCCCCATGTTTATAGCAGCACTATCAACAATAGCCAAAGTATGGAAAGAGCCCAAATGTCCATCGACGGATGAATGGATAAAGGTGTGGTATATATATACAGTGGAGTATTACTCGGCAATCAAAAAGAATGAAATCTTGCCATCTGCTACAACGTGGAGGGAATTAGAGGGTATTGTACTAAGCGAAATTAGTCAGAGAAAGACACGTACCATATGACTTCCCTCATATATGGAATTTAAGATACAAAACAGATGATCATAAGGGAAGGGAAGCAAAAATAATGTAAAAACAGGGAGAGGGACAAAACATAAGAGACTCTTAAATACAGAGAACAAACTGAGGGTTGCTGGAGGGGTTGTGGGTGGGGGGATGGGCTAAATGGGTCAGAGGCATTAAGGAAGACACTTGTTGGGATGAGCACTGGGTGTTGTATGTAGGGGATGAATCACTGGAATCTACTCCTGAAATCATTATTGCATTGTATGCTAACTAACTTGCATGGAAACTAAACACTAAAAAATAAATAAATAACTGAATTCACGATTATGTCAAGCCTCTTATCGATGATAATAGCTATAATTTGGCCACTTACTGTGTGTCTCTAATCCTCACATCAGACCTTCACAGTTAGGTCTGATTATCCCCAATTTTTTGACGAAAAAACCGAGGCTCCAAGAGGTTACTTTTGTCACTGTCACACAGCTACAGGGTGGGGAGCTAGTAAATAAAAGAGCCAGAACTGGGAATGGAAAGCTGATTCTAAACCTTGCCTTCTTTCCCCCACACCACACTGCCTCAGGAATGCATTCCAGCGTGGAGAATTTCTGTGCCTGTGAACTGCTGATGCCCTGCATCAGACTTAAATAGTGGTTAACATGGGCGGCAAGCTTCTCTCTGTTGCCACGACTATGCCCTGATGCTCTTTTGGGTGCCACAGGGATATCTCTTATCATGTCTGGCTCTTGTTTCTTAATCTGAAAAAACAAGGGATTTGGAGTAGACAGCGGTCTTTTATGATAACTTGGATTCTTTTTTTTTTTTTTTAACGTTTATTTATTTTTGAGACAGAGAGAATGAACGGGGGAGGGTCAGAGAGAGGGAGACACAGAATCCGAAACAGGCTCCAGGCTCTGAGCTGTCAGCACAGAGCCCGACGCGGGGCTCGAACCCACAAACCGCGAGATCATGACCTGAGCCGAAGTCGGACGCTTAACCGACTGAGCCACCCAGGCGCCCCACAACTTGGATTCTTAAAATATGCTGGTAACTTTGTTACATCTGATGTATGAGAAATTTATATTTCATAGCCTTCTTATTTCCAAAGTAGGTTTGGAGTACCCAAATACCCAAGTGTTCACTTTATTTAGCTGACATTTTAACTTTTTTTTTTCTTTCTTATAATTTCAGAAAGTCAACAAAGAACATGAATTGGTTAACCTTAAAGAGAGCTATCTTTAGTGGCCTGGAATTTCAAGGACAAATAAGAGAAGGATGTCTTTAATAGACAAGTGATGTGTCATTTGGGACAAATGCAGCGTGACATGTGCGTTCCTCCAACACAGTCATCAGGATACTTCAGCATACCTGGCATAGTTCACATTTGCAAGGTGTATGTGTGTGTATGCGTCAACCTTAGTGTTTAATTTCACTACTCGTCCGTCTCAGCAGGGCTTGTGCTTCCGGCGGTCTTTCTGCCCGTGAGGACAGGTATATACACAGATTCTTCTGGTGCCTGATCTATATTTTGACATGTGGCGTACACAGGTCAGACGTTTGGCTCGCCAGAATCTGTGACCAGGATAGCATATTATTATCTGGCCCACCAGGGGATTGGACCCAAAGCGTAGCCAACTATTCTCACCAATCAGTTCAGGAAATGTGACATTTTCACATCAGCTGGGCCACTCATGCTACTTCTTTGTGTCTCCGTTTCTACATTTTTTTCCCCCAGAGATAATAACACCTCCGTGACACTTAATGGAAGCCAGTATTTTGCCCGATAGAATATGTTCACTGCAGGCTGTTAACTGGCTTATAAGATAATCCAATTAACTGGAGAGAAAGACAGTATACAATGTTAAAAACCGTTGCATTGATTAAAACCTAATTACAACTAAGTTGAAAACTGGCTTTTTTTTAAAAAGAACTTTTTCGGTTTGGAGGAAATTCAACAGGGGGAAAAGAAAAGTAAAGAAATTGAAAGAAATAGGAAGAGAATTTTTCCTGTTTTTGAGTCAAAACTTCTTGAGGAAACATATCTATTCCAACCCCTGTTTTTCTTACTCATCAATAAAATGCAGCGTCCCATAAAATTTGCTATAATATGATGCTCCAGAGTTCTTGAATTATCAGATAAAGTCTCTTTTGCTGTTACATTATTATTGTAATTAGAGTGTACTTTTCAGCTGGCCCAGCATTTTTTTTTTTCATAATATAAATGCTTAGTCTGATTTGTGATCAAAAAAGCGGCAGACTTAAAAATTCAGGTCATAAACATGTATTGAAATGGGAATGAAAGTAGCAGTTCCAAAATATTGGAAATGTGGCTGAAGAAGCATTTACGGCAGGGCGTGGTCCTGAATAATGCCAATATATCTGGTTGCTGCCTCGTTGGGAAATGGATGAGTCGACTCGCTAGACAAGTCCAACCGAGACTAACATGAGGTTCTGAAACTATGGGACAGCTCTCGCCTTCTGCTCCCAGAGGATGATGTTTGTCAGCTTGGAAAAAATTGCCAAGCACTGTGCTTTTCAGTAAGACCAAACGGGCCATAGGGTTTTAATGTCAGAGCAGGGCTTTGGTATTATCAGTGGAGTTCGTTTCTGAGAGCAGCTGACTGATGTTCTGCATTTTCCAGCTGAATACTTCACATGCCATGTCACTGACTCCCTCACACCATAACCTCAAGTGTCCCTGTGCCATGATGCACCTGAAGAATTACTAATGGACATTTTCCACCCTCTAAACATATGATCAATCTATATGCTAAAAGGAATTCTGGGTCCACAAATGTGAGTTTTATTTTCCTATTCATCTTCTTCCTCCTTCCAAACAAAAAATAAGCTAGACAACCGTTGAAAATTTCTTACATCATTCCTGCTTCATTGCCATCCCAAAGTATGTGTCAGAGAGGGGAAATGTAGAGGGACTGTCTTAATTCAGTGTGCAGACTAATTGGGAATCCCTCTGGAAATTTATGGAAAACAAATCAAGGACTGCTCAAATGAAATAATCGTGAGATTGATCCTATATATAAAACATGTTGATTTCTATGAATAACTCAAAATATCTAATCTGCTTACTTATTGGCCTCTTTGTAATTATAGGGAATATTTTTTCTTTTTCTCTTTACATCATTTACTTCTGTTACTTTGAATTTGCCTTCACAGCAGGTAAAGCATTTCCTTAATGCTTTTTCCATAAAAAGAGTAGTATTTAAGGATCTGTTAGGAAGGAATTTAGAAATAGAAGAGTCCTAAAGTTTGCAGGAAACCATCAAAGACATCCAAGTAGCCAAAGCAATCATGAGAAAGAAGAACAAAGCTGAAGGCATCATGCTCCCTGATTTCAAACTATATTAAAAAGCTATAGTAATTAAAGCAGTGTGATACGGGCATAAAAACAGACACATAGATCAATGGAAAGGACTGGAGAGCCCAGAAATAAATCCATGCATTTAGTCAACTAATTTATGACAAAGCAGTCAAGAATGTACAGTGGGGGAATGGCAGTCTCTTCAATAAATGGTATTGGGACAACTGGACAGCCATGTGCAGAAGAATGAAAACTGACCACCACCTTATGCCATATGCAAAAGTTAGCTCAAAATGGATTAAAGATCTGAATGTAAGCTCTGCAACCATACACTATGGAAAACAGCACGGAGTTTCCTCAAAAAATTAAAAATAGAACTAACATATGATCCATCAATTCCACTTTTGGGTATTTACCTGAAGAAAACAAAAACACTGATTGGAAAAGATATGTGCATCCCCGTGTTCATTGCAGCAGTATTTACAAAAGCCAAGATATGGAAACAACCTAAATGTCCATCAGTGGATGGAAGAATGGATAAAGCTGTAGTATATATATACAATGGACTATTACCCCGCTATAATAAAGAATAAGATCTTGCCATTTGTGACAATATGGATGAATCTTGAGGGAATTACACTAAGTGAAATAAATTAGACAGAGAAAGGCAAATAATATATGATCTTTCTTATATGCGGAATCTAATATATATATATATAACATATATATTATAAATATATATATAATATATATATCTCAAGCTCACAGCTATGGAAAACAGATTGGTGGTTGCACAAGAGGGGGTGGGCAAAGGTTGGGGGTGGGAGCAATGGATGAACTGTTTTTGTGAGGTTTTTTAGCTTAAATAAATTGAGTTTTAAAAAAAATCTGTTACTAGTGGTGAAGCATGGAGAAGCTCCATAGCTGCTGGGCACTGGTGGGAGTGGGGAGGCTGTGGCCACGGTGAGCCCAGTGGGGGTGGGAGATGGTGCACTTGGTGCATCCTGTGAACTGTGAGAGGGGAGAACTGCAAAGTCTCTCTCCCAGAAGAAGGAAATTGTGCAAAGGCAAATCAGAATAAGCACCATTTTTTTTTTTCTAGTAGCAAATATCCTCAGGCAAAGATTGGCGTTCAGATTTAAATCGGATTTAAATCACCCATTTAGTTCTATGTCTCGCAGAGTGAATTTCATGTTAAAGGTCTGCAGGTCTTTTCTATTAACAGAAGTAATCAGCTATTTGCCATTATTCATTTAAATTAGAAATGTGCATGTTTTCTGTTGAGTCCTTTCCTCTGCCACCTGGTGGATTTTGCTTAAAACTGCAGTAATAATGTCCTGAGTTGAACATGTCATATAATTCAGCCATAAAGAGGGAATGAGATTCTGACACATGGATAAGCCTTGGAAACATGATGCTAAGTGAAATAAGTCAGACACAAAAAGACAAACACTGTATGGTTCCACTTATGTGAGATATCAAGAATAGAAAAATTGGGGGTGCATAGGTGACTCAGTCAGCTGAGCGTCTGACTCTTGATTTTGGCTCACAGTTGTGAGATCGAGCCCCACATTGGGCTCCCTGCTGAGCATGGAGCCTGCTTAAGATTCTCTCTCTGTCTCTGTCTGTCTCTCTCTCTCTGCCCCTGCCCCCTGCTCATGATCTCCCTCCCTCATGGTGGGGGGTGGGGGGGGGGAGACAAATTCACAGAGACAGAAAGTAGAATACAAGTTTCCAGGGCTGGGAGAGAGGGGAATACGAAATTATTGCTTAATGGTTATAGAATTTCTGTTTAGGGTGATGCAAGAGTTTTGGAAATGGATTATGGTGATGGTCACACAACATTATGAGTGTACTTACATGCCACTGAATCATACACTTAAAAATGGTTAAAATGGTAAACATCATGTTGTATGTATTTTACTGTAATAAAACAAATTTTAAAACACGTTAAATATCATTCTTTTATGATTAAGATAATTAGAGTCATTACTCTTAATGGGCTGTCAGTAATTGTCATGCGGTTTTCCCATGAGGCATCCCAGAACCCATGCCACATAGTTGATCATTATAAAGAAGATCATATTTTATTAAAGGAATAAAGTTATAATTGAGAGTTACATTTGGGAGTACATGAGCAAGGAAGCAGGAATGTGTAAGTTTCAGAGATGACCAGAAATATGCCATAAAAGCCAAGACGTTGTAACAGTTGTCACGGCTTAAGACTATTGTGTATGTTTACACACGAGATAGAGAGGGCATTAGGGGAAGGCAGCACCTGACTCCAGACACCCACCAGGGCAAGGGTGACCCTGTGCAAGGGGTCTGGTAATGTCAAATATGGTTCAGAAAAATGGCGTGCCTCAGAAGACAGAACAGTGGGGCAGAGAATCTGGAAATCTGGAAAGGGAGCCATGACAGAGAGGTACGCCTGTGATATAAAATAGACATCTGGGTGGCCGATATACGAGAGCCAATCTCCCAGCCACTGGGAGGGACAAAAAGCAGGACTCTAGTTCCAGGGAGGAGTTAAGAATCTACTCAGTTTTATAGATCAAGAACTTGGAAATAAGGAAAGCTAGCCTAAGTTTTGATAATATTTATATCCTTCAATTTAACAATTTGTTTATAGGGAATTGATTCCATAGAAGTAATTATTTAGCACAAAGATGTAACTATTAATACAAACATTTTAATAGCAACAGCACTTAAAATAATGAAAATTACTATTAACTGAAAGGCACAATAATAAGGAAATCCATACAACAAAACATGTAGTCATTAAAAATCCTATCATGGAAGAAATCCCAAAGGGTTGTAAATATGGTTTCATTTCTGTAAATACTAGAGACTGTTCTTTGGTTAGACAGTACTTATGTAAGAACTCCACTGGAAAAAAATAAAAGGAGATTACACTGTCAACATTTTATATCAGAAGCCCTCTATGTTACTCAGAACTTTTCATCGCAGAGAGAGATCATGGGATAAGAGAGGTCTTTCTTTTGCTCATTTCATTCATGTTGTTAAAATGTTTTATTACCTTTGTATGTTTTACTGAAAGAATGCTTTTATAAACTCTTGCATGGATGCAGAGACCAAAAAAAAAAAAAAAACCAAAACAAAAACTATATAAAAAACGTTTGCTTCTGTTGTTGCCGAGGGGCTCTGCTCAGTAATAAATACCAGCTTCATTCATGTGTTCACTGAACACCTACCTTGTGCCCAGTTAATAGTAGACAGAGCCCTTGTTTATAGGTTGCTTACACTCTAAGGCAGGGAGGCAGACGACCAATCAGGACACTACGCATGACTGTGGGCGGTGATTGATGCTATTTACAAAATAACAGGAGACAGCAAGACTGGAGTGGCCACTTCCGGGACAGTTCAGGAAAGGCCTGATGACCAGCTATGTATGTCCACCGGGTGGAAGTGTCCTGCACTTGACACTTCTATTGAATAATAAATCATGTCATTTCATACAACTCATATTTACCTGCTCTGCGTTCAAGTATGGCAGGAGGCAGGTGGTGTATTATTGAGAAGGAACTTACAAGAAATGTCATTCTTGACTCACTTCACAATTTATTGAGAAGCCAGAAAAAGTATTACCAGATCATTCATCCAGACGTTACAAAATGAGCTTCCACATTTTTCTGTCCGGAAAATGTCTAGGACACGACTCTAAGTGGATCCTGCCCCAAAGCTGCTAGACCAGGGTGCAAATGCCTAACTGTGGTGCCCAGCCAGCGTGCCCACTTAGCCCGTCCTCTGCCTCACCTGTCCTCCACCAGACTCTGCTGTGCCGGTGCTTCTGCTACTGCCTCCAGAGTTGATCAGACTCATTCATTCAGTGGGCATTTCCTGAGTGCCTAGTGCACACCCTGTGCACACAGAGCTTGTAGCCTAGTAGAAAAGGCAGACAATTAAACAAGCAATTACAACAAATTGTAATCATGCGATAACAAGCTGCTTCAGGGATTCTGAGCATAGAGCACAGGGAGAGTCATGAGAAAAGGGAAGCCAAGGACTTGCCAGTTGTCTTTACCCATCATTTTTCTAACAGAACATTTTCAAACCTACACTGAGGCGGAGAGAATAACAGAATGAAGTCCCATCTCCATTAGCCTGCTTCAGTGACTATCAATTCATGGTCAGTCTTGTTTTCTCTATACCTCTTCCATTTGACCAACTCTCCTCCCCTACTCCTTGGATTATTTTGAAGCAAATCCCAGACATGGTTTTATTTGAAAATATTTGTGTATTTATTTTATCTTCAGCTCCCGGTACAATATCTGCTCATGGTAGGCACTCACTGGCTGAACTAATTTGTTTGCTAAACCAATAAACACTTGAGTGGACGGAAGAAAGGCACATATGAAGGACATTGTCTGCCATATTGGAGTTTAGACTCAGTTCTGTGGCTGCTGGGAAGTCAATGCAGGGTCTTGAATCAGAGAGTGACATAAAGTAGTCACTCTGTCTAAAGTGGAGAAAGAATTAGAGGTGGAGGCTGCATCCACAGAGGGTTTTTTAGGAGGCTATTGTACAAATCCAGGCAACCAGATTACAGTTATGTGTGGGAGAGGCTGAGTAGCTGGAAGAAGTGAAAGGGGGCTGGGGAGGAGGCTGGAAAAAAAAAAAAACAAACCCAAATTAACACCTAGAGATAGAAAGAGGAAGAGAAGGAACATAGCCAATAAGGCAGAACAACGAAAAAGAGCCAGAGAAAGAAGAGGGTAAGAGTATAAATGAGAGGATGCCGAGGAATATGGAGGGAGAGGGGGGCACAGGACCAGGGGCCTGGCCGGTTCTTACGCTGATCTCACGGTGCCATGCTGGGCAAATGCCCACTGAGAGGAGGTTGCCCATTTCCTGCCAGTCCTCTTTGCCTCTCTGGATTGAGTGCCAGCTATTCTCAAGCCGATACTTGATCCAAGAAGGGAGGAGGAAGGGAGGGAGGGAACAAGGGAAGGGCAGTGCCACTAGTTCTCAGGGATTTGCGGGTATCCTAGAAGCATCTGGGCAATGTGAGAGGAGGTGAAATCTAGGCAGGAAAAGAGCTAGCAGGAACCAGACTGAGGGGGAAGAGCCTCCAGCCAACTGGGAAGAGGTTCAAGGCCAGGTCTTCTCTCAGAGGGAGCTGGAGGGGGAACAGAGCTCTGGGCAGATGGCCAGTGTCCCTGGCACATCCAAGTGGTATTTAATAGAATGCAGGCAGCTCAAGGCTCCCATAGGTATTGGCAGCAGGGGAGGGGGCGGCCACCCTGTCCTCAAGCACACACTGAGCCCCAGGTATGGAAGCCACTTGTTGTCCCTACCCCCCTCTGCCAGACTGTCAGGTTCAAGGCCTTGGCAAAATAGATCTTACAAGTGAACAAACAGCCTTTAGAATCCAAAGCTCGGCAGGAAGGGGATGAATATTTGAGATACTCCTATTTTCTAAACTGGCGAGATTTAATAAGGTTTCCTAGCCTCCATGAATATCCATTTGTCTTAGGGGTGCTGTGAAGGATTTCCCTCCATACAGCTGCCCTCTTACCACATTGCTTCCTCTGCGGTCTTAGGTGGGTAAGACCTTGGGTGGTGGCTGACAGTCATTGGTCAAGTCTGTTGCCGGGGCAGAGTGACTGGCCGTAGCTCCTCAGCAAGGATGAGTTGACTTTATTCTTCTCCTTTATTTTCCTTCCAGGCCAACCAGAGGCTGCCCCCTGCAAATGTGTTTACTTTACAGATTCCACCTTCCCTTGGGTGGAGGCTGACCTTTGACCGGGGTTAGCAGACCCATTTGGGCAATGACCCTGAGGTATGCTCCCTGACCTAGCTTTCACTGGCAGCAAAGGTGGAGTTTTGTTAGCTCTCTGCTACCTCTTTTGTCCAGAACTTGGGGACTTGCTCTTCCTGGATCCCTGGCGGGCCTGGAAAATGCTATGGGCAGCCAGGCTTCTGCAGGCAAGCCTTGGCCTCCAGCAGAGGAAGAAGATGTCCTGGCCTGCTCTGTCATTCCCTTGGGGCTCCTGGTGACATCCCTGACTGTCTTTTTGGCTTCTTTGTGATATATGTGGACAAGTTTCTCCCAAACTCTTCATGGAGATATTTGCATCAAAAGAGAAACTAACAGCAACAGTAAACAAAAGGGACCACAAGCAAGGGACTGGTGGATGTTATTCAGATTCCCTGTCCCAAACCACACATATTTTACAGAAAAGGGAACAGCCACCCTTAGTTTATCTTGCTCAAGAACACTGATTGCAATCTATTATGTACTTTGTTCCTGTAAGACGGATAACCTGTATCACTGCAGGTCCTGAACTGGGAAGTTCAGGCCCCATTTGACAGTTTTCCTACTTCTCTCCTTGTCCCTCCAGATGCCGCAGGATCAGATCGAACATGAACCTCTGCCCTTGGGTCTGAACGTCTGGACTTAAAACCGGTGCTTCTAATGGTACAATATAGTAATAGCTCAGCGTGTGTTAGCAGAGGATAGTTCTGGATAATGACATTTTCTCTAAAATGTGACAACTGAATTCCTGAAGTTCATAGTGTATAGCCATTTTAAAAAGAAAGCTTTCAACAATATGTACTCATTACCCTGCCTTAGTTAACAGAGTGGGCTGGAGCAAGCTTAAACTTGTGTTAATTTAGAATTGCCATTGGATGCTCCTGATATCATACTTGGCCCATGGGAGAACGAAACATAGCCTGTTGCTTCTCTGACTTCCATCACATTACCTCCTAGCCAGCCATCTGTGTCCCTGCTTCTATTTCAACAGTCCATGTTTAATAGTCAAGTTTAATAGTCTTTCTTTTGTACCACTCTCCCTTTAGTAAGCTCTCTAAAGCCACAGATATTCATAGAATGAGAATTTTTAGAGCTAGAAGGAAATTGGAGCTCCCAATTTGTCACCAAGGGCAGGACTGCAGGTTGCTAAGGAAACCTGACAATCCAGTGTTGGTACCACTAAGTCAAGATCGCTTTCTCTGTGCCTCTGAAGGAATCAATTATCAAGACTTTGTCTCAATTGGCATTGTTGAGGTCAGTCTTGTAAACTAATTTACAGCTTATTTTCATGGTCACTGTTAACCTGGAACCAGGCCCAAGGAGGAGAACACTGCTCCGCTCAGATCCAATCCCACCTACCAGAAGTGTCATACATAGAGATTGGAACTCTCTAAGTTCCCATCCACAGTTCATGTGCCTCTTGAGTCCATGTGAGATAGAGCCATAGGTAACACTGAGCATTTAAGACGTGTATGAAACAGTCCGAGCCAAAGATTAGGGAATCGTGATGAGAATAGGAGAGTGTTCAGATCCTCTCCGTTGTTCCAACATGAAAATTGGCAGGTTTGGTGACTGGCTTCTGGGTGAAGTAGGGGGATGGTCCCAGATAAGCCAGCTCTCTAACTTGGGTGTGGCACAAACCAAGACTTAGAGCACACAGGTAGGAGCTATTTTAGAAGTGTAGATAGCAGGTTTCTCTTTGTGCACATATTTCAGGGGATGTGTAGGGGAAATATAGTCCCTGGCTTAAACACTCAGACTGTAACTATTCTGGAAGATGTTTATGGAATTTCTCCAACTCTGAAGATCCTGTGGTAGAAAGAGGCAAGACACATTGGTTCTCTTGGACCAGGTTCTTCCACTAACCAGCTAGGTTTCCCTAAGCATGTCATGACTTTCCTGAAATTTCTGAAACATGTTTTACATATTTAATGAGAATATTTTCAAGGTCTGTTTTTTTTTTACTTTTTTTACTTTTTTTTTTTTTAATCTTTATTTATTTCTGAGAGAAAGAGAGCGTGTGAGCAGGGGAGGAGCAAAGAGAGAGGGAGACACAGAATCCGAAGCAGGCTCCAGGCTCTGAGCTGTCAGCACAGAGCCCGATGCAGGGCTCGAACCCAAGGACTGTGAGATCATGACCTGAGCCGAAGTCAGACACTTAACCTGACTGAGGCACACAGGCGCCCCTCAAGGTCTGTTTTAACTGTGACATCCATAGCCAGGTCTCCTTTTCCAGGGTGGTATATTCAATCAATGCGTTTATGTATTGCCACTGAGACAGCTATGTTGGCCTCACACTCACAGACTCATCAGGTGAGTCTGGTAGAATCTTTGTCTCTCTATCGGGTATTGCCTGCCGCGTGTGATTTGAACCTAGCGGATTATGTGCTGGTTGCTCTGCAGTAGCTGGAGGACTTAGACTTCTAGCACTGTGCTAATTCACTTGCCTTACCATCTCTGCCACTTATTTGCTATTGTGCAACCTTAGGAAGGGTCTTTTGGTTCTGGTTTTGCTTTCTTTAAGTGGTGGTAAAAAAATCACATAATATAAATTCACCATTGTAGCCATTTTTAAGTGTACAATTTAGTAGCTTTTAGTATACTCACAATGTTGTGCAACCATCACCCCTATCAAGTTCCAGAATATTTTCATGATCCCCCAAGGAAACCCTGTACTCATTATGCAGTTATTCTTCATTTCCCCCTCCCCCAACCCCTGGCAACCAGTAACCTGCTTTCTGGCTCTATGGATTTGCCTATTCTAAATTTTCATATAAATGGGATCATACAATATGTGTCCTTTTGTGTTTGGCTTTTTCACTTAGCATAACGTTTTCAAGGTTCATCTATGGCGTATATATGAACATATATATATATGTGCGTGTGTGTGAGCACTTCATTCCCTTTTATGGCTGAATAATATTCCACTATATCCATATACCACATTTTGCTTATCAATGCGTCCGTTGACGGACATTTGAATTGTTTTCAACTTTTGGCAACTGTGAGTAGTGCTGTTATGAATGTTTGTGTACAAGTTTTTGTTTGAACACCTGTTTTCAATTCTTTTGGGTATGTACCTAGGGGAGGAATTTCTGAGTCATGTGACAATTCTATGTTTACC